TGGGGTGTCAGACCAAAAAGCGATCCCTTTCGGACGCTCAGCGCAAGGAGCTGGTGAGCTCCAACCGAAGAGCGATGGCCTCCAACCTAATAATGGCCTTCAACCGAAGAGCCATAGCCTCCAACCGACCAGAAAATGGCCTCCAACCTAGAAACTGGGTGAGCTTGTATTCAATCACCTTCATGACTCATGACCATCTTGCCCTTGCCGCGTCGCCACCTCAGTTGTCGGATGCCATCCGAAATCTCACCTTGGCAAAGGTGGGGATGGAGTTCGTGGGACAAAACGGTTCGTGTTGTGTGGAGTTCGTGTTGTGTTCCGCAAGTTGGACCACCTGAGAGTTGAAAAACTCTTGAGTTGGACCCATTCTGACCGGGCGGTCCCAGAGACCTTTCCTTTTGCTCATCTCTGGTCGAACAAAAGACCCGTGGGTCCCTTTGAAACATTGCAGACCCGTGGTGTGCCCTCCTTGCGAACATCGCAGCCCTTCCCGTGCCTCGTCTTCTCTCGGCGTTGTTCGCCTGTTTCTTTTTCTTCGGTTCATCTCACCGGGCTCGGTTCAGCGAGAGATGCTCGGTTCGAGAGAGCGCCTGAGAGGTTGAAGCACTGGTGTTTGCAGTCGGTGTTCGACCACCACCACCACCACCACCACCACCGGTTTGGACACATGAAAAACCATTCTCTCCTCCCCCCGTATCGACGCACACGTTGCCCCGTACCACGGCGAGCCCCGCCAGGCCTTAAGCTCCACGGTCATCAACCCCAGCTCGATGACCTTGGTCGTGTACATCATCGGAGTGGCCGGAGGAGCCCAGACGATGGAGCGTGGAGCGTTTTGCCCGGGTCGGAGCTTGTTGCGGTTCCTTTTTGGCCGCGTTTGATGTGGTCTTGAGGTTTCGGTGCATGTGTGGCGCGTTTTTGGTTTTGGCCTTCTTCTTTTTTTTGCGTTCTTCAAATTTTCGAGCTCGGGCCACTTGCAGATGTGTTTGTTAGTCCTTATTTTCTTTATTTTTGAATGTACTGTAATCTCTTCTTGGTCATGAGAGGTCCTCCCAAACCATCATCATAATTTAGAGGTTTTGGGCATGAAACTGGGATGTAGCGAGATCGGGGGTTCTCCAAAAACAACCGTGCGGGGTCGCCTCCATGTGCTGAGGTGGTCGCCTCCATGCTGACCTTGTGCGCCGTTCAGCGGTCGGGCTGGTAGCCCTTTTCAACCCCCCACTACAGAGGGTCCAATACCTGGAATTTGCGAGCCGTTTTCTCTTCCCAGAGTACATCTTGGTGGCCCAAACATGTTGTGGAGTGGTCTGCCGAGAGTTTGAAGCACTTGCAAGAGTTGAACCTTCAAGTGGACTGTTTGGTCACGCCGTGTTCCCTTGGCTTCGTTTTTTCTTTTCGTTTTTATAGGTCCTGGACCGTGTGTCCAGTCCTCGATAGGAATCCTTCAGGGGGCATGCTAGCAGCCTGTGGCGGTGAGTTTCAAATTTTCTGCAGGTCATCGGTCGAGCGTCTCCTTAGTCTCCTTAGTCATGAGCACAAGAAGCGAAGAGCTGGTGGGACTTTTCAGCCCCGGAGAGGACTTAAAATAGAAAATACATTAACAGCTTCTTGTTCCTACTAGTAAGGCACTTGTTACTAGTAGCGAGGCACTTGTTACTACTAGCGACTTGAAAAGCCTCTTTGTCTTCAATCGTAGCCGTGGGAAGGATCAGTTTGGTTCCCACCCACTTTGGACCATTGAAGCGTCAAATCTGGACGTCGCGAAGCACACGCCGAAGCGGTCCCCGTTTGCTTTTGACCGTATCATACCGATTCAAAAGCGTCCCCAAGCTGCGTCCGCAAGCTGCGGACTCTGACAAGTTCGTCTCGATGCGACGAGAGTTTATGTTTTTCAGTTGGACATCGGTTGAGGAGATTGAATATATATATATATATATACCCTGGAAGTCCAAAGACTATATTTTGACCGGCTGAAGTAAAGGAAGTTCCCTTTCAGGTCCCCTAAAGACCATTCTTTTTATAGTCTTTGACTCCCAGGGTATATATATATATGAACATATCAATACTGGGAACCACAATCCATAGACGAATGTCAGGTGGTGAAGTTGGTGGACATCCTGCAACTTCTTGTTCCCAATAGCTTCTTGCTCCGTTCGTAGCGATGCCTTTTGCTCCGTTCGTAGCTTCTTGACAGCACAGTTGTTCGAGTGTCCCAGACGACCAGACTTTGGCCCGACGCGGATCGTCTCGTTAGCGGCCAACGCCGATCTGGAAGGTATGTAGAGGGCTTGAAGGGCCTTGGGTGTGGGGGCCAAGTGTGGAGTCTAAAAAAGGAAATTGAACACATTGCAGAAAACGCATAAACAAAACAAGGAAGGAATAGATAGGAAGAAAGGCCCAAGGAAAGGACGAAAAAGACAAGGAAGAAAGGTCTAAAGAAAGAAAGAACACAATAGGCAGACAGGTCTAAAGAAAGAAAGAAAACATAGGCAGACAGGTCTAAAGAAAGAAAGAAGAATGGTTTTAAGAAAACAAAAAAGAAGAACACGTCGGAAGACAGCGCCAGCACCTCCCCAGCCGTCTAGACACTCTTTCTTGACACACTTTGCTAGACAATCTTTCTTGACACTTTCTCTTGACACTCTTGCTGGGCACTCTTGCTTGACACTTTTGCTGGATACTTTTACAGGACATTCTTGCTGGACACTCTTGCTTGACACTCTTGAAAACAAGCATTTTTAACAAGACTTTCACCAGAAGCGACAATCAAAGCTTCCAAAAACGAGCATTGTCCACGAGACTTTCTCTTGCTAAACAGTCTTGCTTGAAACTCTTTCTTGACACTCTTTGCTAGACAATCTTTCTTGACACTTGTTCTTGACACTCTTGCTTGACACTCTTGCTGGACACTCTTGCTCCACACTCTTGCTGGACACTCTTGACACGACACTCTTCCTTGACACTCTTTCTTGACACTCTTTGCTAGACAATCTTTCTTGACACTTTCTCTTGACACTCCTGCTTGACACTCTTGCTTGACACTCTTGCTGGACACTCTTGCTTGACACTCTGCTAGACACTCTTGCTGGACACTCTTGCTTGACACTCTCTCTTGACACTCTTTGCTAGACAATCTTTCTTGACACTCTTTCTTGACACTCTTGCCTGACACTCTTTGCGGGACACTCTTTGCTAGACACTCTATCTTGACTCTCTTTGCTAGACACTCTTGCTTGACACGTTTGCTGGGCACTCTTTGCTAGACACACGTTGGCTGGGCACTCTTGCTGGACACTCTTTGCTAGACATTCTTGCTAGACACTCTATCTTGACACTCTTGCTTGACACGTTTGCGGGACACTCTTGCTGGACACTCTTTGCTAGACTTTCTCGCTGGACACTCTTGTGTGACACTCTTTCTTGACACTCTTTGCTTGACACTCTGCTAAACACTCTTGCTGGACACTCTTGACAGGACACTCTTGCTTGACACTCTTGCTAGACACTCTTTCTTGACACTCTTTGCTAGACAATCTTTCTTGACACTTGTTCTTGACACTCTTGCTTGACACTCTTGCTGGACACTCTTGCTGGGCAGGGCACTCTGCTAGCTAGACACTCTTGCTGGACACTCTTGAAATGACACTCTGCTAGACGCTCTTGCTAGACACTCTTTCTTGACACTCTTTGCTAGACATTTTGCTAGAAAGTGTAACACAGACAAAGTCCTGCCAGGTATGCCACTTTCCGACGTGACAGTCTCCAAAACGAGCGTTTCGTACGAGACTTCCTCCAAAAGTCACGCGTCAAGTCTCCAAAACGAGCGTTTCGTACGAGACTTCCTCTAAAAGTCACACGTCAAGTTTCCAAAACGAGCGTTTCGTACGAGACTTCCTCCAAAAGTCACACGTCATGGCTCCAAAAGGAGCGTTTCGTACGAGACTTCCTCAAAAACTCACATGTCAAAGTCTGCAAAACGAGCGTTTCGTACGAGACTTCCCCCCAAAGTCAAGCGGAAACACCCATCGGAGCACACCCATCGCGCAGCCCTGCCAAGCAGTTTCGCGATTCGAGCCCCTCCAAACGACACCCGCTCACACGCCAATCCCAATGTCACAGCGACATTCACCTCTACCACAACTCACAACCTCACGATTCCCTGCGCCCGCCACGAATCTTTCCACGTCCACACGTCTAACGCGCACAAAGTCCTGCGCCTGCCACGAAATGTCACCTCCGTCACACATCGCAACCTCACGATCCCCTGCGCCTGCCACAAAAATCGCACTTCCACACCTCAAAACCCGCACAAAGTACTGCGCCGGCCACGAAAAGTGACAATGTCATCTCATGTGAGCTTCAACAAAATTTGTACCACACCACACGTTTGGAATGATTTCGGCCCGTTCTGAGCACACTCCCATCCACCAAAATCACCATTTCAGCTGAGACTTGTCACGAAAACAACGCTTCGATGCCACACCCTGACTCTCCAAACGCTAATCCAAATGGAATACCGACACAAACATGTCACTTTCACGAAACCCTGCGCCTGTGCAGCGAAATGCATCACGTTTCTTGCGCGACATGTCACTTTCATGCAAATCACAATGTAATAGCGGCGCAAACTGACACGTGACACATCCATGAAAAGTCACTTGCAAAAGCTTCCCCCAATGGCAGGGCCATAGAGACATCATACGAACGGTTGCGGACGGCTGCGAACTCGAAAACAACGTCGGGCAAACACAGCTCTACCCTCAGACTCCCAAGTTAAACGAGAACCCTTCGCTACGCATTCGGGAAAACGTAGGAAGAAAGGCCCAGAGAAAGGACAAAAAAGAAAAGCACAGTCGCAAGAAAGAAAGCTGAATGATGGTTTAAAGAAAACGCTAAAGAAGAACAAGGAAAGAAAAGAAGGAAAGAAGATCTAAAGAAAGGAATAAACATGCGCGGAGTGCCTGGATGCAGCGAGGAGTGCCTGGCATCCCATGAAGATCTTGAAGTGCACACCTCCAGGCTTCCTCTATGCCACGAACTCGGACCCGTTTGGAAACGCGAAAACGCGAGAGATGGGAGGTAGGAGGATCCAGTATCAACGATGGCGGCATGAAACCGGTGAAGCGGATTTGATTGGCCAAGCGACCTTTCTTGGCAGTCTTTTGTTACAGGGAGGGAGTCCCCAAAAAAATGATTTCGTTTTTTCTACCCCGTTCTTCCTTTCTTTCTTTTGTCTCTTGCACTTCTGGTCGCTTTTTCTCTAAGAAAATCCACCCATCGCTGGGTGACGACATCACCGGTGACCTCGCGACGCTGAGGTCTTGACTGCGACCTTGATGAACATGGCTTACTCTCAAGGCGACCCGGAGCTGCTCTCCCGCGGGACCCGGAGCCGGGCACGGCGCCGGGATCGACGGTCGTTCAATGCGTGGGAGGCGGAGGGGGTTTCCCAAGGACAACAGCGCTGTGGGAGAAACCGGGTTCAACACAACGCTGTTGGTGGATTGGTTTGAGCTTCATGTTGTTTCTGCTGCCAGATGCGATGTTTGACGTGGAGTGGAGTATTTCAAAGAGACTGGAAGGGTCCCCTCAAAGTGCCCACAGAAGGCTTTCCGATGTGGAGCTGGCAGTGGGTGGCCTTGGCCAATGCTTCGCGGGAAGTATGTCAGTGAACAGTGAGGGGCAGCCACATCAACACCAACAAATGGCTGTACACTTTGCTTCTATGGCTGTGGCGTGCTTTTTAGGACCTTTCGTTGCGAAGTTCCATCCCACTCCCTGCATTTAGATGGGCAAAGCGCTTTGAACGGTGCTTGTTTGAGTTGAGCTGCTCAAGAAAGAAACTGAACCCCTTTTTTTCCCTGCCATCCTCCCGGCTGACCCGAACGGGCTGCTTGACTGCAAGACCTGCGTTCGTGAAGAGATCGCCCAGAAGCTCGCCATGGCCGTTCAGGCTGAGATCGAGAGACCCAAAACCCTCGTACCCCTGCCATCCCTTTTGTTTAAGAACTGGAAGGAGGGGAAAGATGGGGAAAGGGACCGTGCATTCTGCCGACGTCTTCGGTCGGAGCAAATTCCAAATGCCGGTGTTGTTGACAGCGAAGCCGAAAACCCGACTGGGTCGTGTGGGTCGGACGGTGGGAGTTCACAGACTAGTAGTAGTGCCAGGAGCCCCTAGTAGCGTCCTTGCTCCTAGTAGTAAGGCCAGGAGCCCCTAGTAGCGTCCTTTGCTCCTAGTAGTAAGGCCAGGAGCCCCTAGTAGCGTCCTTTGCTCCTAGTAGTACGGCCAGGAGCCCCTAGTAGCGTCCTTTGCTCCTAGTAGTCGGATGATTATCCCAACTCGTTCCTGTCCAAGGCTCATGCCAATGTTTGTAGCGACGTTGTTCTTCCTCGCCCGCCTGACCTATGCAGCCAATGCAGAATGCGACGAGGCAAGGTTGGGAAGTCGGTAGACCATCAAGCGTTCCTGAGGTGTTTCTTCAAGAATCAATCTTGGCCGTTGTCGTTTTCAGGTGTTTTCATTAGTTTCAAAGCTGTTCAGAAATCCCTTTCGGCCGTCCACGTTTGTCTAACCTAGTGCTTTCCGGCGGCGCTGTTCGCGGCGTTCGCACATGGGGTGGGGAACGAGTCTCCGCGACGACTCCTCGTTCCCCACAAGGAGTCGCTGCTACAAGTCAAATCCGAGAAGGCCGGGAACCGAACATGAAACGCACCGTTTTGGGATGACGGAAGTCTTCTCAGAGCAAATGAGCCAAGAAAGTGTTGAAGCCAAGAAAGTGTTGACACATTCTGCTTTGGCAAACAGGTGGTGGTTGTCTCTGGCTGCATGAGTATCTCGGTTGAATTCAGCTGGTTTCTAGCTTCATGCACCCGTTCGACTTGATTCAACACGTCTCGCCTCACTCGAAACTTCAAGATTCCGTCACTCACCGAAACGAAGAGGCTTCCTAGGCTTAAGCACCATGAAGCACCTATCATTTGACGCTACTAGGAGCAAGAGCGCTACTAGGAGCAAAGGGCATCGCTACTAGGAGCAAGGACGCTACTAAAAGCAATATCGTGAGACATCCGAAACTCTTTAGTCACTGACGTCCAGGTTTCCCCCGGAATACGGATTGCAATATCGTCACGAGCCCATCCATTGCGTATTCCAAAACAGGCAACGAAAAGCACTGTTGCGACGGGTCCCAAGGGGCGTGGCGTTGCGGCGTTCGACGTTTCTATTCTTGTTTTTCTCCGTTTTTCTGGTTGTTGCAGAACGTTTCTCCAAGGCGAAAGCAACAATTCGATCACGGAGGATATGTGCACATTGGCTAAACAGAACTTCCAAGAGTACACCGACTATCATGGCTACAAGCTGGTATTCTTCACCCAGACCCCTCCCGGTGCGGAAGACAGGCCCCCACACTGGTCAAAAGTGTTGGCACTTCTGAATGTGCTCGAATATGAGCCGGAGGTGGACTACGTGTTTTGGACAGACAGCGATTCGCTCTTTGTGAATCAGACCATCAGCTTGATGAACTACGCGCCCAGAGGAAGCAGCTCCATGACCTTCAGTGGAGATTACCTTTGCTACTTTAACTCTGGGCACATGTTGTTCCATTGGCTGATCAGTTAAAAGCCATTTTTATTTTCCCCTTCAGCAATGCAGCATAGTGGATTGGAGGTACAATCTTCAAGTCGCTGGGTACATTTTGATCTTTGGATCAAGTCGCAGAAGAACAACATCGGGAGAGAGAGCCTGAAACCATCTCTTTCCCGCAACTCCGAAACTTCAAAATTCCACATCGGCTTTCAAAAACCTTTTCAGTGAGTGGAAGAACATACATCTAAACGGTGGAGAGCACCTGCTTACGGAACACCCAGGTTCAAGAACGACCAGTGGACGCGTCAATTCTTGAAGGAAGTTTGGGACACCTATCCTTCCCCGTACCCGTGGCAAGATCAGTCGGCCATGATTTACGTCATGCACAAGTTCTCTGCCTCCAAAGCAGCAAAAAAGAAAGCAGAAACATGTCGACGCTCGTTTTTGAAGACTATGAGCAGGTTTTTCAGATACAGAACCTGATTTTGCTTTGGTAGGTTCCCCCCACAGACGAACTTTTCATATTTGTTCCCCAATAGCAAAAGCTTGGGGTTTGGTTGCTTGGGTGGTGTCCTTGTTGCGCTTGGTGGTGGTGGTCTCTCGGTCATGCCGTGTTCCGGGTGCGTGTTTTCTCTCGCGCGAACAGAATGTGCCACATGTTAGAATGTGCCACATGTTGTTGGTGGGTGAGTAACAGTGGGGTACTGTATATAAAGGTCGGTAAACAATTATCACTATGAAAAGGAGGAAGGCCTGCAACCTAACCATCATCATCTGCTGTGCCCAGGGAATAGAATTCACCCCATATGGATGAGGTACTTCAGATACTGTATCCAAGGATAGGTTAGGCCTTGTGGCCCGAACCTCCAATCGTTCGAGGACTGGGCTGGACAGTCCAACCCATCAGGTAATGGCCTCCAACCTTCCAGCGATGGCCTCCGACCTACTAGTAATGGCCTCCAACCTACTAGCACCGGCCTCTAAGCTAATAGCGATGGCCTCAAACCCCCAATAGCACTGGGCTCCGGTAGCGATGCACCGCCCCTCCTGAAGGTGATCATTTGCCGGACCTGGCGGGTGATCCAGAGGGATGCTGCAACCCGAAGCTGGTCACTGGCGTGGACATGCGTCCAAAGGATGAGCTCAACGCCTTGAACTACTACAAAGACGGCGTTCCCAAAACAGGAGAACCGGTGGAAGTCGGAGGATCATGCCGCCCCGAAGATCGGAGGATCATGTTTTCACTGCTGATCTTGTTTTTTTCCTGATCGCTATCTTCTGCGTGCTGTTGTGTGGCCAAGTCGTGTGCTTCTACCGGTAAATGAACTAATATGTCCTTCCCTACGATGATGTGGTACGTGTCCAGCGTTGGTGAAGTGGCAGGTGTGGCAGGTGGTTGTAATGCAATGTCATCTCAGTCCATGGATGATCCGACCCCGCGACTCCACATTTGTTGGAGCGAGATGGTGTTGTTTAATGTTTTTAGAGCTAGTTTGATTCTTCCCCTGTTGCAGGACTCTTCATCGTGCACTTTGCAGGCCGCGATGCAGCGTACAAGACGAAGACCATGAGGGATACGATGCAGCTCGTGTATCATGGTTGATGAACTGGTACGCACTGGCACTGACTGAGAAAAAGAGTCCGTGCGGCCGGTGATGTTGCTTTCTTTCGAGGCCACCAGGAAGGTTGCACCTTTCGAATCGCTCAGCTTCGTTGTCAGGAATGAATGCAGCGTTGGCCTTAATTATCGGGAAGCTTTACACGCCGGTGGCGGCCATTGGAGCGCGCTGGGCCGCTGGGCTTAAAGCACCGGTGCGGTTTCCATGGGGATCTTCATGGAAGACTGGTGTCAGTGCAAGGGGAAGAGCAATGGCCTCCAACCTAATAGCAATGGCCTCCAACCTCATATCGATGGCCTGCAACCTGCTAGCGATGAACCTACTAGCGATGGCCTCTAACCTAATAGCAAATGGCTGGTGAGATGGTGGTGTCCCCAACTCTCTCAGTGTCCCTTCTTTGAGGTCCTCAACAAGTACTACATGTGGCTGGAGTTGGGAGGCCCAGCCAGGACGTTGGCCATGCCATTTCGACATGTTGGGCCCACGTCATCCAAAGACGAAGGATGTGGCCCACGACGGAAGAACCAGGGTCTGCGGCCGTCCACCCGACAGATGCACAGACGACTGACGACTGCCAGGACGTTGGCCAGGACTGGTGGATGGTCAGTCAGGGTGGTTTGCAAGAACTATTTGTGTGTGTGAAACTCTTGGAATCCAAGGGAACCTGTCGGTTTTTAATAGAGCAGGGGGGAACCTCGTGCGCATAGCCCGACGAAGAGGGCTATGCCACGAGTGATATGGAGTCTGATCAACTCCACGTACTTGCTTCCTTTTTGAACTGTTGACCAAGCTGTCACTCCACTCTCCTGTAAAGTGCTAATGGGTTCTGCAGCCTTACGGCTCGCCGTTCGGCCGAAGTCGTCGACTTCTTCGAGCGACTTCGTGGTCGGAATTTGAGGACCTTTCAGATTCATAGTCGAGCCATCTTACATATTCCTCCCCTGACTCTTAGGCTTACATACTCAGGTGGACGTGTGGCAAGTGGCTTTCATTTCCGTACGAAATATCCCGAGTGTGCGCAGGTCACAGGCCCGTCGTGGGCCAACGAAGCTGTTCCATGATGGGGGAAGCGGAGACTGATCACCTGCGCGTAGCTGCTGAAGCTTGTGGCATTTGGTGACTATGCTCTCCTCTGCATGTCAGGCTGGTTAGGTAATGCCAGCTCTCCAGACAAGTGTTCGTGGAGTTTCTTTCGACGACTTGGAGCTTTCAAGGATGGTCTGACCGCCTTACATACAACCTGTGTTACCCAGGCAATTTTTCACTCAGGCTTCTTCACAGCTTGGGGCGAACCAAAGTCGAGTGTCGAAAGAGGAGACATGGAGACGTTCCCAAAGGACGGGGGAACTGGGGGAGCAGAACTCCACTCTTTCGGCTTGTTTTTTTCTCCTCAACCAGCAGTCAGCAGTTTAGATGACTAGTTCCGACCAAGAACGCCTTCCTCCATCCAACAGGGTTGCGTAGGAGAATGCTGACATCGCTGGATGACTGAATTTTTCTAAAAGCAGAGGGAAGGGGCACAGGGCTGATGGGTGGGTGATGGGGGCAACAAAGGTTTTTCGCCTTCAGTACAAATGGTTACACACCTGCAGACTGACATAGAAGCTGAACACATTGATGTTGTAGAGGAAAATGGAGCATCCAGAGGGAAAACATTGTAGATGGAAACGCCCGAAGGTGAAATCATCGCCATTATGTCGGAGAAGCACCGAAGCACTCACAATTTTTGCCTGGAATTTCTGAGGTATGTGGCCATCGCCATTCTGACCCTTGCCAGTATGATTTTTGGCTATCTCCAGGCACGCGGGCTAGGGCTCTAGCGGGCTTTTGTGGGCTCTAGCGGCTAGGGTTTAGGGTTTGGTCATGGTTGGTGTGGCTTTCGGTGAGTTGTTTTGGCTCTCGGTCTGACCCGTCCATACCGAAGAGACGCCCCCAAATCGTCGCTCTCAACCCCTTTTGACCGAGGCGTTCAGTCCGGGGTCGGGCCCTGCGTGGGACGGTGGCATGGATTCCATGAGAGCCCAGGGCCTAGCTTGGCCGGCCGCGGGTGTGTCCACTCCAGTGGGTTATCAGCAAGGACGCGGACCGAACGTAGCTCCTGGCCGTGGTTACCAGTAAGGAGCCACATCGCTACTAGGAGCAAGGAGGCACGTTTCGGAAGGTGAAGGAAGAGTGTTCAAACCACCCAAGCGTATTGTTTTTGAGAGAATCCCCAGTGTAAGAGGAAACCAATCCCCAGTGGCGCCCATGGATTGCGACGGTCGGGAGGGGATCCTTTTCAGCCATGAAATCGTCGCTTGGTTTGGTGACGAGCAGCGCCCAAGGGCGGAGTCACCAGGAGGTTCGGTTCTCGCCACTGCAGGGTCATGCCGAAAAACACATAAAACACATTGTCTTTCAAACATTCATTTTGTAAACTCTTGATGATATTTCACTCCTCATTTGAGGATTTGATAATTCCAATGGGAGGGTGAACACTCATCAAGAGTCTACATTGGTTTGGTTTGGACTCATCCGTTGTGTTCGATTCTTGGTCTTTTTTCGTGGACCTAAGGTGGAGAAAACCACGCGCGAGGGTCACCGTTTCAGAGAGGAGGACCCAACGGCGTGTCACGTAGCGTCCTTTGCTCCGTTCGTAGCGAGTAGCGTTGAGCCCCGTGTTCGTAGCGTCCTTGCTCCGTTCGTAGCGATGCCCTTTGCTCCTAGTAGCGTTTCAGAGAGCGTGCGTGGCGGACATGTGGAAACCGAGGTGGCCATGTTGCTGGTGGTAGGCGGGGTGGTGGACGAACGAACGACGCACGGAACGAACGACATGGCCATGCCTGGCCGAAGAGACAAACGTCCGTCAACTGGCCAAACTCGTTTGGGAAGACTTCCAGTTGAATCCTAGTAGTAGTGCCACGCTAGTAGTAACAAGTGCCACGCTAGTAGTAACAGGTGCCTTACTAGTAGTAACAAGAAGTTTACTGTTGGAATTTCGATTCATGAAAAACGACTCAGTCATCCACTACCAGTTCGGTTTGAGAACGTCGTTTGAGTCATCCACTCCACACTCCGTGCGTGAAAGTCGGGAAGACTCCAACTCGCCAAGATGGTGGACAGGGGAGGACGTGTTAGAAAGAACGGGGAGCTGGAATGGATGGGGCGTTCTTTTCAAGCAAGATGCAGTGATAGATGTAACTGTGAGATGTGAAAGTGTGTCAAGGCTACACAATCAAACAGTCATAATCTAAGAATTCACCTGGAATTCAGTCTTCAACTTCGGGTCTTCACCATGTTCACGGCTGAGCTCCCGTTCGCCCCTGTATTCCCCTGTGAAACTGACGGGTCGCTGATGTCTGATTGACTGTGCAACGTTTGCAAGCCTTGGAAGCGGAGGATGTTGCAAGCCGGGGCCTAGTAGCGATGCCCTTTGCTCCTAGTAGCGTCCGAAGGGGGGGAAATATACCTGACGGTCGACCCACGGCCTTGGACCCCACAAGGCTCAGCGGTGGCGTCGGCGTTCAACTCTTTGTTGACCGAGCGGATCCTCAAAGGAGACAAGGCACCGGTCACCCGCGTCGCGGCGTCGGTGTGGCGGGTTGGAAAGGCGGCTGTGGTGGACCCGGAAGGAGAGGCCGCAGGCCGCAGTTGCCAGGTTGGAGGCCATTCCTAGCCCATTCCCTTTGTGTTTCGTGCGACTCTGCTTCATGCTGAGTCCATTCGTTCGGCAAATGCGACTGTCCGACAGACTTTGCGCAGTAGAGTGGATTCCCTTTGCGAACGTCGCGGTGGAGGCCGCTCGTTCACCTTCGGCCGCCGGGGTCCGGCCGTCCAAGACATCGCATCTACCGGTAGTATCCCCAGGTTCAGGGTCGGCTTGATTTAGCGCTTTGAGTTGTTTTCTTCGGACCTGTGTTTAGAGGGGATTCACGGTCCTGTTGGTTTGGATCTCAGTAGATGATAGTCAGTAGACGACCGGATGAGGTGGGGAGATATTCCTTTGTCAGAACGGATATATGTATCATCCTATTTCAGATTGGTGGTCTTTAGGTCAATTGGCTTGGCGCAAAAATGGCGCTTCCGCGCGTCTCCGGCAGAAAGCTTCTGGGGGGTTCTCGCATGCTCACCGTTGGCGTGTCGTCACCGGGCGGTCCTGGGGTCGTGTGGTGCGCCAGGCTCGGTATCACGTGCAGAAGGCCCCGTGGGCGTTGGACATGACCCCTGGCTGGTGGCTGGTGCTTCGAAAGAATTGAATGTGTTTTTTTCTCAATGAATTGAGACTGAATCATTAATCATTCTGAATCATCTCCGGACATTAATCGAAAATTATTAAAGAATGATTCAGTTTCTACATGATGGCCAAAGAATCAGTTTCCATTAATCAAAAATGCCAAGGAAGAGTTGCGTCCCACCTCAGAGTATGGAGGTGGCCGCTTTTGGGCCCGTGCACAACTCTTCAGCTCGCGAAATGGAGCATGTCAACACGCCACTTTTTGTTTAAAGATTCTTATAGAAAAAGACTATTAAAGGAACCTACTAGTGATGGCCTCCAACCTACTAGCGATGGCCTCCAACCTACTAGCGACGGCTTCCAACCTACTAGCGATGGCCTTCAACCTACGTACTAGAACCTACTAGCGATTTAAACCATTCTTCCCGTTTTTCTTTGGACCCTTCTTCCTTTTTGTGCTTTTTCTTTTTCCAAGAAAAAGCATCTCGTTCCACGTCGAAGAAGCATGAACTATCCTGCGTCGATTTCTGCTAAATAGTCGCCCCTACTTGATTGATTAAGTAGGCCCCTACTTAATCAAGTAGGAGCGGGGGCAGGGGCAGAGCGGCCTTAAATATATACAAATCAAAGGGAATAAAACACCTTCCAAAACCCCTTCCAAAGCGTCTCGTTCCACGTATCGCCAGGTGCGGCTGGATACCTCGTGCATCGTCTCGGCGTTGGCGTTCATTCCCATCATCGCCCTCATCTCCAACCGCGCCCAGGCGAGTCGACGATCGTTTGGGCACAGAAGGGATAGGGAAATCCACTTCCACTTCAGCACTGCAGATGTTACGTCCTATGTGGTTGC